TGTTTTGGCCTTCCAAGTCGAAAACTCTATGAAAATTCTTACTTCCTTTAAATATTGTCGATTGTATTCAAAACATATCATTACTACGTTCACTTATTCTAAAAGAAGGGAGCTTTAAATCAATTGAAAATCATCGATTTACGTTTTGGCCTTCCAAATCGAAAACTCTATAAAAATTCTTACTTTCTTTGATTATATTTGAAATGTATCATTACTACGTTCATTTATCCTACAAAAGGAGAAGGAAAGGAGAAGGGACATTAGATCAATTGGAAATTATCGACTTACGTTTTAGCCTTCCAAAACTCTATGAAAATTCTTACTTCCTTTAAATATTGTCGATTATATTCAAAACACATCATTATTACGTTTACGTATTACTACGTTCATACGAGAAGGGAATTTTAAATCAACTTGAAATCATCGACTTATGTTTAACGTACCATTACTACGTTCATTTATCCTACAAAAGAAGGAGAAGGGAGCTATAAATCAACTCGAAATTTGACTTAAAATTGACTTAGTTGTCTTCCAAGAAAAATGGGATGTGCAAACCAAATGTATATCCTCGAGCGGAAGTCACGTGAGTTTAACCCATTAAGAATGAAATTTTCTTAAGTTAATGTTTATATTTGTTTACGCGAAGATTTATCTGGAAGAATTAGAAGAATTAGAACGCGATGGACTTGTTTTTTTTGAAAAGCTGTTTCTCTTCGATGTATCTAGAATGTTAAATTTCTGGATAAATATTCATATTGTTATGTTTCATGCACGTAGAGTTAACAAGTCGGGATTACGGCTTCAAAGTTTTGAACACCGAGTAAGTTTAACTTTTTGTTAACTTTCCAACTTTGAAACTGTTAGAATTTCGAGCTTACTGGTTAACTCGAAGCAATCTCGAAGAATTTAGTATCGGGCTTGCAAAATTCATGAGAGAATTAAACGCGAGGGAAGTTTAAAAAATGTTACGTTTAAAAAATCATCACGCATTTTTTATTTGCAATTTCTCATCCAATTTCTCGAAAAACAATAATTTTTCAAAAGACAAATTCAACGGAGATATACGTATGTATCGAAACACGTAACGTTTCCATTACTTGTTATCAAGGAACTTTGCAATTTCAGAGACCTCATTATCGTAAGTTTCCACCCCGCTACTTTATCCAATTCCAACATCTCGTATCCTAATTCCAAACATCCAACCCTTAACCCTCTCCAACTTTACTCGTTAATATTCACTTTATCCTGGAACGAATCCAACCGAATTAGCTGCAAAGAAAAAAAAAAAAAAAAAAAGAGAGAGAAAGCATCAAGATCTAACCCAAAAACTAAAATAAATTCTTCCCTTCAACTTATATTAAAGCTCGAGAAAAATTCATACAACGCGTACAGATCAATTTACCAGTCGTCTTTTTCAACGACACGGCGTCAAGGAGTCGTTTTCGCGAAACACAGCTATAATATCCAGGAAGAGGAAAGTTAGCGGAGGCAAAGGGACAAAGGGAACGGTCGAACGGTTTCAAGGAGGGTGGAAAGGAAATCTAGCTGATATTGCGTCTCTGACAGAGGAGAGCTCGGCGTAAATCCGCGCGATATCGGCGACAAAGCAAACCGGGTATCGTGCTATCTCTCTCGCTCTAAATCCCTTCTCTCTTTCCTTGGGATAGAATCGACTTGTCGCGGACAAGTTCACGGGGGGAATTCGTCACACGAACACGAACGGCCTGGGAACGAGAATTTTGTCGGGAGAGTGAGAAACTCTCGCGAGGAAGGATGATTTAAAGCGATGTGAAAAAAAAATGTTGGAGAAGGTCGATTGTCTACGGTTCGTCCGTGTGAAACTGAATTTTCTGGACGACTACGCTGATATACAACGGGGAGAGAGACTTTTTTCCTGAAAGAAGGGTTCTGCGAGGGATGATAAACGAGGGGCGGAAAATCGCTGGGGTGAAACCTTTGACGTTTAAAGTTTATGGGAAGAGAAGGAAGAATGAAAAAGTCGAGAAGATTAAAAAAATATGGAATCTAACTGTATTTGTGAATTGTTATTTAAGATGCGACAAGAGTGGAGATTTAATGATTATTTCGAGTAGAATATCTGTATAGGTTAAGAAGAGAGGATGATTGTTCACTGTCGGTCTAGCAGGATACTGCACTCTGCGTTGCAGATTCCTATCGATAAAGTAGGAATTCAACTAACGTATCTCAGGTTATCATGTAACGATACGAATCGATAATCGGCCGAATCTGTAGTGCATTTTAAATCTCATTTTCAATAGAATGAACAATATACGAAGAAAAAATAAATAAAGAAATAAATGCAACAAATCTCTATATAATCCTATAACAACTACAATATCCTATCCAACTCGTCGGCTTACCATCAG